ACATATATATATATATATATATATATATATATATATATATGAATATATATGAATATATATACATATTCATATCTAAATTTTGTGATATTGAAAAATCATTGAAATAAGAGATATATAGAGATTAATGAACCTACTAACAAAGTAATATCATTTATTTTCTTAAAAGTTTTGCTTTTTTCCTCTTTTCCAAAAGAAAGAAGTTTGCTACATATATTAACAAAATATATCACGTTTTACAATACATCGTTATGTGTGATACATAGTAAGTATGATAATCGAATAGTCGAGAAATTAATTTAAAACTTACTTGTGTTGCTCCTGCAATTTCGTCTTGTATCTGATAGTACGCTCGACTTTTTTGGTCGCTGGTCGTTTTGGGCTGAAAAATGATGTTACTACATTCCGTTTTTTGCCTGTACTAGGCGATAACTTTAAGTCGGATTTCGATCTGAAATTCCCAAAGAAGAAGAGAATTTTATCAATCAAAACAATTGTAGAAATTCATAGAATTGAAGAGACAAAGTTTAAAATTTTTATTTAATATAAAGTTTAATAATATAAAGACAATAATTAATTATGATAATGTTTTAGCTATATGCAATAGTCATAATATTGTCTTATTCATATCAAATGAATAATAAAAAATTATGTAATATATAAGCTCTTTAATTATATTAGATTAGCAAATTATAATATATAAAATATATAGAATAATATATAGAATATATAATATAGATAAATATATAGAATAATATATAATAATATATATATAGTTATAATATAGAATTAAAAATGACTCATAATTAAAATATATGTCAGATATTTTCAGATATTTTATTAATTATATTATTTTTTATGTATATTATGTATATTATATATTATATATTATATATTATATATAATTATATATTATATTGATTTTCTTATATCACTGATTATGATTAAATAGAATTTATTAAATTAATTTAATAAATTGGTCATTCTTAGCTATATGTTTAATTGATCATTCTTAATATGTTTTTTTAAAAAAAAACTTTAAAAACTTGAATAGATTTAAAGTTAATGATGAAATTCACTAAAATATGATTAATTAAGAGATCAATCTATCATTGAATACTAATCAATGTTCTCATTTAATATATTTATTAGGAACAATAATGTAATATATAAAATTAATTTCATTTTTGTCTTATATTGTCTTTATTCGGTTAAAAAAATGTTAATGTTAAAACACAATTTTAACAGAAAATTTTAACAGAAAAAAAAGAATTTTGTTACTGTTGATTTTTATAAGATATTCTTATATTTTTGCATATGCATTGATATAATTTATAATAAATAATTATTTTTTTTTATTACATTTCATTTATTTTAAATTTAGAATAATAATTTTTGTTATTTTATAAAAGAAAAATTTTTATAAATAAAAAAAATTTAGGGGACACCCGGGTTTGAACCGGGGACCTCTCGATCTGCAGTCGAATGCTCTACCACTGAGCTATATCCCCACTTATAACTTTCAGTTTTTTTAAATAATATTATAAATACTCTAATAATATATTTATAAATTATATTCTCTCAATAAATTTAAATTAAAATTAATTATAAAAATACTACTTAAAATATTTGTAAAGATTATTTAATTAAAATTTATTTATTTGAATTAAATAAAAATACATTTTAATAGTCCCTTAAAGATATGGTGATAACAAGATTTTTGAAAAAAATAATAAAATAATTTTTCAAATAGACAGAATAATGTTTGAAAAAATCTAAATATTATGATTATAATAATGAATCTGTCTTTACTTGTTCGAATGTCAAATGTTTATTATATGTATAAATCAAAAAATTATCGTCAGTTTATTGGCTATTAACACCATCTACACGCCAAATTTTCATCTACCATTATTATCGACTATACTATCTATTACTACTATTATCACTATATCGATAATATAGAAATCTTTAAAATAAAATTATAATTTTTTTAGTCAAGTTAGAAAATATTTATAAATAAATATATAATTTATTTTGCAATAATTATATAATAGATATAATATATAATAGATATAAATTTAACTTATATAAACATTAAATAAAGAAATGAAAGCAAATTTCAAATATATTTCTCTTTTTTTATATAGCTTTTAATATTAATATTAACTTAAACGTGTAACATTAACGAAAAATTCTTTAATTCTTTATTTTTAATATAAAATTTTTATATTCACCGAGTTTTCGTGGACTTGTTCGTGACCAATATAGAAGTGATTGTTGCCCGTTTAA